GCAACACTACGCAAATCTACGTATGGACCCCACGCCAATTAGTGACTTGCCAGTGTCACAAATAAAGTATTAAAAATATGCTCGTCTGACCCTAATTAAATGCCTAAAACCCGTGAGCTTTCGGGGGTTTATGGCCCCTTGAAACCCGTGGACCCCACGCCTATAAACACTCAACTCGCTGCGATCTAACTGATCCCCCCCCCCCCCCACTTTGAAAAACGTTTCTTGGAGTCTGCATGTAACATGTAAGAATGGTGCATGGTGATGCAGATTTTTTTTCCAGCACCCCCCCCCCCAACGATTTTACTCATTACGCAACTGTCTGTTTTGCAACGCGTGAAGTCACATACTTCTGTCTGGTTGATATTGAACTATAAATATGTAAATGTTCAATTCATAACCTTGTTTAAATTTTCTTGTAATTTACTGTACATAATATAACCCAGATAGCAAAATGTTGTGGGGCCCATCTGGGTTTTATCTGGTTACAACTGGGCTGGCCCACTTGGCCCAGATGGGCCAGCCCATCTATGGCCCACTTGGCCCATTTGGCACAAATGGGTCCCAGATAGGCCCAGCAATCTGCACCCGGGTTATAGAAGGGCCCCAGATGGGCGGCCCACATTGGACCCACTTGGCCGAGATGGGCCCACGTGAAACCCAGATGGGCCCGACAATCGGTCCATCAATATACACAAGGGTTACCTATTGGGCACCAGATGGGCCAAATGTGGGTTTTATATGGGATACCACATTCTATATATGGGTCAAGTAGGTTCTATATGGGCCCCATATGGGCTATAAGCGGGTTTTTATATGGGATCCATATGGGCCAAGTGGGTTTGATCTGGTCCCATATGGGCCAATGTGGTTTTAAATGGGCTTCATATTGTTTAAATGGGCTCCTATTTTTCCCAGTTGAATTCATTTATCCCATTTTTCAATTTCCAGGGTTACCAGTTGGGTTTAACTGGACCAGTCGTACCATTTGACACAACTTTCAACCAATTGAAAGCTCCAAATAGCAGACTTAATTAGTAGGTTATGTAGCACTTGTACTAATTAATTTGGTCAATGGCAACAACACATCGTCTAAAATTTCCAATGTACAGGCATTGGTGTTAAGAAGACTTGGTTAATTTGCTGTGATGAGACATTTCCATATACTTGTATTTTATTGAATCTGTTTTAGATCTTGGTTAGTGTTTTTCCTAATTCATGTTTAATTAAATGTAATTTATACAAAGTAGTGAAATTTCCTAATTGGCAATTTACATTTTGTAGTATTTTCGAAATGAATTGCAAATAACTAAATCATCAGTAATTAGGAAATATCCTGTAAATTTAGATAAATTGTAAAAAAAAACATAGATGTGCACGCACCCCATACTCATTATGCAAATGATGGGATATATTTGTGGGTTTTGGGTGGGAAGGCCCATCTGGTATACATCTGGTTTTTAGCTGGGCCCGGCCGATGCTCGATGTGTAACTTTCACCACCAAAAGACCGACATGGAGCCCATATGGGGCCTATATGTGTTGGTACTTGTGGGTTCTGGATGGGAAGGCCCATCTGGTATACATCTGGTTTTTATATGGGCCACGTGGGCTCCGTATACTTGTGGGTTCTTGGTGGGAAGGCCCATCTGGTATACATCTGGTTTTCAGCTGGGTGAAGACAATCTTCGACGTGCGATTATCACCACCAAAAACCCACATGGGGCCTATATGGGACCTATATGTGTTGGTACTTGTGGGTTCTGGATGGGAAGGCCCATCTGGTATACATCTGGTTTTTATATGGGCCACGTGGGTTCCGTATACCTGTGGCTTCTTGGTGGGAAGGCCCATCTGGTATACATCTGGTTTTTAGCTGGGCCCAGCCGATGTTCGACGTGCGATTATCACCAACAAAAACCCACATGGGGCCCACATGGGGCCCATATGTGTGGGTTCTGGGTGGGAAGGCCCATCTGGTATACATCTGGTTTTTGTATGGGCCACGTGGGTTTTAGTCAGCCCATACAAAACCCAGATGGGCCCCAGATATTTTGCTATCTGGGAAGACAATATTAGTCTCCGATGGCTGAGTAGACGTAAAGTCGTATAGTTTTATAGCTGTATAGGTGTACAAAATTATGGCACTTCGGCCTACACGCTGTTGTGTTTACGGGTTCTTCGATTGATGGATAGACGTATGTGTAATTGTATAGTTGTACGAATATTGGCCTGCTTGGCCCCCATACTCTTCGACTCTACCTCACTCAGCCAAAGTAGGCGTGGCGAGTTCGTGACGTCATTACTCATGTTTATTCATGAGGCCGCTAGCCTAGCGTTACTTCGCACCTTCGTACGCTACCGCAAAAGTCCCGGCACGGCCGACACAGCGCAACAGCACTGTGTGTACTGTATGTATGTTTATGTAGACTGAAGGCAGCTTGCGACTGAACTGGGCTTAACTGCAATGATTTTCTTATGAAAACTTTCCTTTAGAAAATGATAATCAAAATTCAGTAAGCATGGCCGTAATAATCACAAAATAAGCTTTGATTTCATACCTCCATTCACGAAAACTATATAAAAATCGCGGCAATAATGATGGAAATAGGTCTCTAAGTTTGGACGTGGACGGGAAGCCCCGTGTATCTCTGTGGCTTGTGCAGTTACTACAAAGGATATCCTATAGAAAGATGCTTTACTCGGGTAATCCCGACCCTGTGCATCGTGCATTTAACACGCAACTTAATGTGAGTGGATAGTCATCGGTCGTGTGTCTAAATGTTGAATATCCATGAGGTATCTCTGTCGTCACGCATATCCTGCATTATGCATGTCGCGTCTGTTTTCGCCCTGGACGTCGACACGGAGGAGGACCTCGGGCGGAGTATAGCCAATTCCACAGAGTAGACTCTCCCGCGGACGATGGCACCGGGCACGGGTATCCCGAGGGGAGGGTTCAGGAGGAGATAGCCGCACCAACTTCGGTCGGCAATCTCATTAAAAAACAATAGAATACAAAGGCTCGCCGAGACGTCGCGCCCCCCGCGGAGCCTTAGCGTATTACTTATATAGATATAAACGATGTAGTCAAGCAAGGAAGAGGATTTGATTTCGAGGAATGGATTTTCATATGAGTTGAGTTGAGTTGAGTTCATTTTTTATTATCCAAAAGTTCAAACACAGTAATATAACAATAATAACATTACTAAATGTATGTTTAACAAAATATATCTCAAATGAATGATAGGGACCAGAAAGTAGCATAAAATGATAATCATGTCTGGTACCTTTAAAGTACAGTACCTTAACATTTAACAATTTGTGTATGTATATATATATATATATATATACACTGTTGGTCATAATGGTGGAATAATTATTTTTACCCCAGTTTAGGGAAGGATTTTTAAAAATTATTTAGTTCTAATAGATCTAGATAATGGCATACATTCTCAGATTCTATTGAATATTAATTTGCGAGTGTTTGTTTTGCGTGACTGCTAAATCATATGTGTGCTACTATGCTAATCAGCTAGGGAACTTACGTCCTTAAATCATAATTGACAGTAATGAGGATTAATGCCTCACAAAAGGGCACTAATATAGCTGATCGACACGATTTTTATCCTGGGGCCTCACAGTATTACGAGGCCATTGTTTAGCCCCTGAATCATGACTGTACGCAGTGTTTGCTAGGGTACGCGGCCCCTTCCACAAATCCCCCAAAACGAAGAAAATGCAATAAATTTTCAAAAATTCATTGCATTTTCCCCCGGCCCCAACAGGAAAAATTCTTCTGTGTGGCCATGCCTTGAACCATAATGCATGACCCTGCAGAAGAATTTTTCCTGTTGGGGGCCGGGGGAAAATGCAATGAATTTTTGAAAAATTATTGCATTTTTTTCGTTTTGGGGGATTTGTGGAAGGGGCCGCGTACCCTAGCAAACACTGCGTACAGTCATGATTCAGGGGCTAAGCAATGGCCTCGTTACTGTGAGGCCCCAGGATAAAAATCGTGTCGATTAGCTATATACTAGTGCCCTTTTGTGAGGCATTAATCCTCATTACTGTCAATTATGACTTAAGGACGTAGGTCCCTTAGCTGATTAGCATAGTAGCACACATATGATTAAGCAGTCACGCAAAACAAACACTCGCAAATTAGTATTCAATAAAATCTGAGAATGTATGCCATTATCTAGATCTATTAGAAATAAATAATTTTTACAAATCCTTCCCTAAACTGGGGTAAAAATAAATATTCCACCATTATGACCAACAGTGTATATATGAATACCACAGGTACAACTTCAGCTAAATACTATTCTATGTATCTAACATAATACATGTTTGCGGCACTATCCGAGATGCTACAGACTTCTAACAAATTGCTCTAGATAGTCCGAGAGATGCTCTTTCGTCTGACAATGCATGCATATCGTTCTAATATGATTGAAGTTCTAGTTGATACTCCGGAAGTTCTGATCAGGTAGTCTGCTGGATTTTATTCATTCATTCCAGGTTTATACAAAGTTAATGTGCAGTTGTATGGCATCATGCAGTCCTTCGCGTATAGTCTCCCTCTTTGGATTCTGGCTTACATTCGCTTCGCTTGCTCGCAAATAAAATAATGTTAATAAATATTGGACCATGTAAAGCGAGAAACAAACAACGAAATCGTCACTGATAATCTAATCACAATGTGGGGTTATGAGAGCCTACCAATGTCTAAAAATTGTATATTTTCGCTGTGATGTTTCCCTTTGTAACGATTTCCCCTTTTTTCTTTCTAGAAATTGCCTTTCGTTGTTGCCCCTCCCCCTCCACTTTGAAAGACGCCTCTCCGCCCCTGCAGGTATACAATGCCGGTGCTCCCATGGAACGTGTAGCAATGGGTGCGATGGGGCCATGTCCTTGATGTCCTGAGCGATGTGACATCTGACTATTTCCACACATGGATAATGTTCTCTATTATTTCTTCCTTTTCTCCCTATATAGAATATCTTGCTCGTGCATAGACCATGCCTAAAGCGAGTAAGAAAAGCGATATCTGGATGAGATGTCCGCAATGTGTTCGACAATTCAATGCAGTGGAGGACCTGCAAGACCACGTTCAAAATTCACATCCCCCTCAGAAAGAGTGGGCTTGCCCCAAATGCAACTATACCGCCGATCGCCAAAGTCACGTCACAAAACATGACCGTAGAGTACATAAGGAGAGACAGATTCCTAGTAGTAAATCAACTTCAGAGATGACAACTCCCATTCGTCCAGCAGTACAACGCACAAATACTCCAGTGCCTGGAAATGCAGAAAAGGAGAAAGGGCAACAGGAAGCTCGGTCGGAGACACCCTTGTCCACAAGTACGCATTCACGTCCTGTGCTGTCGACTGGCACCGCTGAGGATTTCACCGGTCCTACCGCTCGTTCAGTGATAGCGAATGCGAAAGAGGAGGTTGCACAGAGGTTGAAATTAACCAGACGTTCTGAGAAAAGAAAGGGTCAACCCTACCGTCGTGTGATTGAAACAGTTGTCTTCCCTGATGGCAGGGTGTACACAACTGAGACCAAGGAGTTGATATAATGCAGGACTTAATTTGTACAGCTAGTTTTGTGAATTCGATTTTTTGTATTGTTGTTTTTAAAGGTCTGCACGGTACCGTAGCTTGTAGTTGATATTTCACCATGTTCTTTCCCCTGAAAGCAGGCGTTGTACATAGTGTGATCAGGCCCAAAAGATTCGATTGTTTTGTTGATAAATAATGCCCCCTCCCCCCGATGTTATAGAAGACCACAGAGAGCACTTTCTTTCAGCAGGGAAATAATATTTTACTTTTGCGGGTTTTACTCCAGCTAGGGAGTTTATTTTGGAGTTAAAAGAGAACCTAGAATAGGGGATTAATGCTTTCACCATTAGTAGGTCCATGCTTTCACTATGCTTCCTGTAATTTTAATGCAGTTATTTATAGTTGTTTATTAAATCTTAAGTCTATTTTCAGACGATTCAAACAATCATTACATATATTTATTTGTCCTTGTGGGTTTTTGAGAGAACATAAAACTGCTATAGTTCAATATTTGCATAGAGTTTTATCTTGACTTAAGTATTATGTTTTGCGGATGCACAAGTAATTTGGAATTGCTTGGTTATTGAACGTAAAGGTTATACATATAGTAGGATTTATTCTATGCTTAACCTTTAGATGAAAAGATAAATAAGTGCATCACTTATTTACCAGAATTGCAACGCATTTTTTCAAAAATGGGATAGTTACTTGAATTTGTTGGAACTGCAATTGAACCATTTATATTACCAGTGATATACTTAGTTATTATGTGAGTTGTATTGTCTAAACCAGGAAAAGTTTAGTTAGAATGAACTAAAATCGTATTTCATTTTATTATATAGACATTGTTTTAAGCTGTTTATAAACTTAGAGTTTAGATTAGGTTTTATTATTAGAGAAGATCTAGCGCATGCAGATTGATATGTTATGGCTTTATCGTTCTATTAAACCGAAGCATGAAAATGTGTTCGTGGTCGTCATTTCTATATATTGATTACTTTAGTTATGATTATTCTTTCTTATTGAGATGATATTAAGATCGAGCAATAGAAGTCATTCTACATGTTGACACCAATTTCACCACAAGCAACTGTTTTTGTCTCTTCATTTTTATTATTCTAGCTCCCCTGTACCCTGATAGGGGCGTTACAATAAGTAAGATCGAGAAATCATATTTAAACAAAAATGTTGCTAGAATTCGATGTTTTATTGCATGTGCTGAGAAATGTTAACCTTGTAAATACTTTAATATTAATGCGATCGAGGATATTTCAATCTTAGCAGGGGGCAGTGTAGCACCTCAACATTTTGGCCGTGGAGCAGGGGCGGCGGAGCGTCTTTCAAAGTGGGCGGGGGGGGCACCAAGGAAAAAAGGCACTTTCTGGAAAAGAAGGAGCACCTACAAAGGGATACCTCAGAACGAAAATATATAATTTGTATACATTGGTTATTTGGTAGTCCCTCATACCCCTACATTGGGATTAGATTATCAGGAATGAATTCATTGTTTGTTTCTCTCATTACATATGGTTTAAGATACTGTTTTTATCGGTTAGGTGCCATGGTCTCAATGTTTTATCTGCGAGGGAACGAAAACAATTAAGATTTGTAAGGTCGTAGTGCAAGAAAATACATCTTATAAGGAGGAAAATACAATCCTAATCATGAAAGACCGAAAAGATCTTTGATAAGAAATAAATTTATTAACATAAAATGCTACCGAGCTTTGGTTGTTAGTTGCGTTAAATAAGGAGCACATTTTGTGGTGAAAGAAATAGGAGCACATATCCAAAGTTAAAAGGACGCTTATTAAAAAAAAGAAAAGGAGCACGTGTTAAAGTAAAAACCGGAATTATCAGAGATGAAAATGAAGCACTACTCGCACCTGATAAGGGGCACTCACCAGAGATGAAAAAGGGGCACTTGTAAAAACGGAAAAGAGGCACTTATTACAAAGGAAAAGAGGAGGAAAATTGCCATTAATAAGAAAGGATAGGGGCACGTGTCAAAATAAAAAGGGGCAACTATCAGAGATGAAAGGGGGCATAAGTCCAAGGTTAAAGGGGGCACCTCGCAGAATTTAATACGGTCACTCGCCGGAGATGACAAGAGGCACTTAAAATGTCAAAATAGAAGGTACACCTCTCAGAGTTGACAAGAGACAATTATTAGAGGTGAAGAGGCATTCACCAGAGGTGATAAAGGGATTTTCTTGTAACTGAAAAATCGCACTCACCTGAAATGAATACAGGCACTTGTGAGATTGTAAAGGAGCACTTTTTATAAAGGAAATGGGCACTTGTCAAAAGAAAAGGGGTACCTATGATATTTTAATAGAGGCAACAGAGATGCGTGAGAAGGGGCATTTATGAGATACGGAAGTGAGCAAGTGGCTCTTAATAACAAGAAAAAGAAAAGGGGTATTTATCAGAAGAAAAAAGTGGCACTTATTAGAAAGACAAGGGTGCACGTTCCAACATTAAAGAAGGCACTTATGAGAGGTAAAAGGGGGCACTCATCAAAGATGAAAAGGTGAACTTATCAGAAGGGGGAGGGGCACTTATTACAAAAGAAAAGGGCACTTGTAAAAGTAAAATGGGCTCCTCACTTATTTGAATAAGGGCACTTATCAGAGGGGGTAAGAGGCGCTTATACGAATGTGTAACGGGCACCTTAGGCGTACTTGAAAATGTGGGGGGGAGGGGACAAATTCCATCTCCACGGCTCAGCCACTTTTGTCGAGGAGCTAGGGCGTAAATCGGGGCAGTAAATTAACCAAGCTTAATCGGTAATTAGAATTTGATTATTGACAATAAGCGAGTTCGTAATTAGGATTTGCGCATGTGCAGATAAAGGTCATTCGTTCCCAAGTTGTAAAACTAGTTAGACGAATACTCGTATCATGCTCATCGAAGTTATGTAACTAGTATTCATTTATGTACCGACATTACATTTATCTGATACACAGCTGGAAGTATTCTTCTCAAGAGGGCAAACAAAAGGAATTCATGAAGCACCTCCATCACTTCGACAGTGATTATTCTAAACTGCACAAGTGGGACGTATCCATAGTGTAAAAGATCTGTGGATATTTGGGGGTCATGCGTTCCGAAGCTATTCACGAACTGGCTTATTACGTTGAGCCATAATGCATGGTCGTTCAGAGGATTTTTTTATGTTGGGGACCGGGTAAAATTCAATGAATTATTGAAAATTCATTGCTGTAACAGTCGGCACTCCATAGTTTGGGGGCGCTAGCACTTCATAAAACCAAAACAAACTGTGCACATAAATGTTCGATGATTCACGAACAATGCTCGACAAGGAAGCCATCAAACCTTGAGCTTTTCATCAGTTTAACGATGTGAGTAGAATTGAGAGTATGAAGAATCTTGAATTAATGGTTTTCTGATCAGACTAAACTCATTGGAGGTTGATATTATAACGTATTTATATGCTAAATGTTGTCTTTAATTGTTGAACTTTGATTGTTGAACTTTGATTGTTAACGAACACGTGTATGTGTGTATGATTGTGTGTGTTCTTATATATACGCATAACACATTCAGAGCGCATCGTTGAATACGATTATAGAGTATTGTACATGCACTTTACGTGCTACTCAAAATCATCCATCTTCTCTGTGATGAGTTATGTAATTTAAGCTGTATAATACTAATGATAAATGTATCTTGCTAGATGTTGAGACATAAACATAGACATGTATAATTCCCTTCAATTTGCAGATGGGAACAGTATAAGGCTGTAACTGTAACAAGATGTGCATCAAGTTGAAAGTAAATCGGTCTGTCTTTGATGTCAGCACTCAGCAGGCACAGTGGTAAGCTTACATATAAGTGCCTCACTGTAATATGTTTATCCCATTATGATGTGTGGTTCATATTTTGAGCTGTGTTAAATTAATCTTATTGTAAACCACAAACTTGCTATTCTTGGTGTAATTGGCATTCTGGTGAAGTCACTTAATAACAGTATTATTTATACAATGTGCATGAAAGTTATTCCAAAGAAACAATACCTCAAGTACAGATACATAAATGGAAGTTTAGACATTGTTCATGTTAAATGTCAATTTATTATACATGTATTTTGTACATCAAGAAGTTATTTTATTATACATGTATTTTGTACATCAAGAAGTTATTTTATTATACTTGTATTTCGTACATCAAGTAGTTAATTGAACGATCACTGAAGTAATCGTTGAACACTGAAGCGTTTTATTGCTAAAAGATTCATATCAAATGTAAATACCGTTATACTTATTATTCGTATGTTTTGACTTTGTCATTTTTTCAGTTCTTACGGCTTTTGACAAGAATAAACGTCTACAAGAAGCATAGACTATACAAGCCAGTACTAGAGAACGTGTGCGTCGTTTTTTGTTCTTCATCTAAGTAAATACATCGGGGCAGGCACAGTAAGAACACTACCACAGGGTGGTAAGTACTCTACCCACAAGTTAGCGACTACACTCTACCCAATACGTAGATGATGCATGCATCCGGGACGTGGAAGGCTACATCTCCAGCAAGCTCACTCTTCAAGGCTCATGGCATCGCTGCTGGACTGTCAAGCTCAAGAGCGTACAAGAAAAGGAGGTCAAGCTATAATTGATAATCTTTGACCTGGAAAGAACATTGAACTATCCTATAAATTCCACTTGATTTATTTTGTGGAAGCAGCTCCTTCGTATATCCTTTGAAATGGTAATATAGTAGGGGTTGATTTGGTATTGCTGTTGCAATTAGAATAGTTTGATAAATTTAGTATATTTTAATTTATTTGTACTAGAGCCTTACATTTCCTTGAGTGTGCAAATTTGGGTAATAATTTGTGCAAAATAAGATAAGGGTGAACAAATTTGTGTTTAATAAGAAAGAAGCACAAATTTTATCGGTATTGCCAAAATTTGTAATAAGCCTTTAAATATTTGCTAATTGATTCAAACTACGGATTCCTTTTAATTTTTTGGAATTGATATTAGCTGTTTAGGCTAATTCATAAACCTTTTGGTTAAACGTGCAAATTTAAATAATTTTTGTGTGAGAAAGTTCAAGTTGTTTTTTGTGAGCAAATTTTGGTTAAATCATAATTTCTACCATTGTCAGAGATTATTCTAAAATTCATGACTAACACGTTATAAATGTTTTAATTGTAAAGTAGGTGTGCACCTATCGATATGAAATTGTAGTGCACAACTGAGCAACTGAATTTACTTTGGAGTCGCTGTCCTGCATTGCTGCGTGCATTAAGTAGTGCGCATGTGGGGTTGCGAGCATTGTATTTCGGCTTCGGCTGGTGACATGGTCTGGGGCCTCTTGACTGATGCCTTGGGTATGGTCTGGTATCAGGTGAATAGTATCGCTTAGACTAGTAGGCGGGTTGAGCGGTTGTAGGGTTTGTATTTCATTGGCTTCTCCTAGGTCCATTGTATTTATAAGTAATATGACGGAAAAGTCGCACAGTAGGAAGTCCTCAAGAGAGCGACAACCTACAGAAAAGATGGCAGCTCTGCAAGGGGAAGAGTCGGTGAAGACAGAACGGAAGTTCTTCAAACACTATGGGGCTCTGAAGACTATCGTCAAGGAAGCAAGGAAGGCAATCAAGGCTGAAAAAGAAGAAGCGATGATCAAGCAGCATATCGAAGCGCTGGAAAATGGAGAGAAGGAATTGATAACATTGTTTGAAGGCTTGAGGAAGCACAAGGCTCCTATAAGAGAAGTAAGGGAGAGAATGGATAGAGGAAATGCGATGGTCCGAGATATTATAAATGCCCTTGAAGAAGTTCTAGGGTCACTGGGAAGTCCCTTTGATGCCGAGGACCGCAAGCAGATCGCAAGAGAGCTCTTAAAGCAAGACTATGCCAAGTCGGTCTTCAGCTCGTCCTTAAGTGAGGTGGACCCAGATGCAGGAACAAGCCAGCAACCGGAAGCCACCCCAGTCCATGCCACCTTTAGTCTCCCTGGTCAGCTTTCTCGCGGCAAGATCTCACCCCGTCCTCCTTCATCTGTCAATTCTGCAGATACTCTGTCAGAAGGCCCAACAGCGCCTTCTGTGTCAGAAGGCCCATCAGCGCCTTCTGCCTACAGTCCTCAGTCATCGCCACTGGTAGATAGTCAGCATTTTGCCCAAGCCCTAGCCGACAATATGTATCGGAATCGGCTTCCAGTCCCAGTACCTCATACCTTCAGTGGTAATCCCCTCGAATTTATTGAATTCGAGAGAAGTTTCAGGACTCTAATTGGGGACAGGATACCGGCTACAGAAAAGCTTTATTATCTGAAGCAATACGTGACAGGACCGGCCAGAGAGGCAATAGAAGGATTCTTCTATGGAAGTTCAGAAGATGCCTATGCTGGTGCCTGGAACACTCTAAGGCAGAGGTATGGCCACCCATTCCAAGTCCAACGGGTCTTCCGGGAAAAGCTGCACAACTGGCCAAAGGTACCATCAAGAGACGGGAAGGCACTTCAAAGGTTTGCAGACTTCCTAAAGAGCTGCATGGACGCCATGCCCTACGTGCCAGGTTTGGAGGTATTGAATGACTGCCTTGAAAACCAACGACTTCTTGGTAAGCTGCCTGAATGGCTTGCTGCCAGCTGGAATAGGCAGGTTACAAATGCCATCCAGAATGGGGGATTGTATCCACAGTTCAAGGTGTTTGTGGGATTCATGATCAAGGAGGCACAGATCGCCAACAATCCAATCTCTTCACTGGAGGCCTTAAAAGGCGGTGAATCCTCGAGCCCAAGGAAGGACAAGCTTCCCACAAGGAAAAGCTCTACACTGGCCGTGAAAAGCAAAGAGGAACGGACGAAGCACCACAAGCACCCACCTGAAGGCAAGAAACCTGCCAAAGGCTGCGGCCTGTGCCGGTCGACAGACCATTTCCTGGATGGATGCCCTCAATTCAAGGCCAAATCCTTAACTGACCGCAAGGGTTTTGTAAAGGAGAATGGCTTCTGCTTCGGTTGTCTTCGGCAAGGGCACTTCAGCAAGGATTGTACGAAGAGACACAAATGTGAAGTTTGCGGCAAGCGACATCCCTCCTCCCTCCATGAGTGGCGTCCTGAGGCAAGTCAAGACGAAACGGAGCAAGCCGCAACAACATCCCATAAGCTGCACTTTGGAAAAACCACCAGTACGTCAATGATTGTGCCAGTATGGGTTGCTTCAGAGCAGTCCCCAACAAAGGAGGTACTAACATATGCTCTTTTAGATACCCAGAGTGATGCCTCCTTTGTCCTAGAAGAAGTAGCTCAGAGCTTAGGCGTTAAGCGACAGCCCTTGAGACTACAGTTATCAACGATGACGTCCTCATCCACCATCCAGTGCGATGCAGTGAACAATCTGGTAGTAAGAGGCATGACTTCTCCCACTAAGGTGGAGATTTCAAAATGCTACACTCGAGAGTTCATACCAGCAAACCGGGAGCATATCCCAACTAGGGAAACTGCAGACAAGTGGCCTCACCTTCAAGAAATCGCTCGGGATATGTCTGCTCTCCAAGGTTGTGAAGTTGGGTTGTTAATAGGTTATAACTGTCCCAAAGCCTTAGTCCCTAGACAGGTTGTAACAGGCACCGATGCTGAGCCTTACGCTGTACGAACAGACCTGGGATGGAGCGTCATCGGTGCAGCAGACACTCAAGAAGGTGACGTCGACTCAAGCCGATGTGGCAGAGTGGCTACACGGGAGCTGCCAGGAATAACACCCAAAGATGTGCTCAAGGCCCTAGAGGCAGATTTCTCGGAAAGGTCCAGTAAGGACATATCCTACTCCCAAGAGGATATAGAGTTTGTGAAGCTCTTGGAAACCACCATTGCGAAGAATGAAGACGGTCATCTCATAATGCCACTACCCTTCAAGAAAATGCCTGACATGCCAAATAACAGACGTCTTGCAGAAGTTCGACTCAAACATCTACAAAGGAAGATGGAAAGGGACGAAAGGTACAAAGAGCAGTACCAGGCTTTCATGACTGAAATGATCAAGAATGGTTATGCAGAGAGGGTACAGGAAGAAAGTCCCCCTGGGTCGACGAACTACATCCCACATCATGGTGTTTACCATCCTCAAAAGAAGAAAATCAGAGTAGTTTTTGACTGCGCAGCAAGATTCCGTGGTACATGCTTGAATGATCACCTCCTGAAAGGCCCTGACCTCACCAATGCCTTGGTGGGAGTACTGCTCAGATTCAGGCAGCACGATGTGGCCATCATGTGTGATATTGAGAAGATGTTCTATCAATTCCAGGTGACGGAAGAACATAGGGATTACCTACGCTTCCTATGGTGGGAGGGCAAAGACACAAAGGGCAAGCCAGTGGACTATCGTATGAAGGTACACCTTTTCGGTGCTGCATCCTCACCAGGATGTGCGAACTATGGCCTAAAGCACCTTGCCAAAGAGTACAAAGATGACTTCCCCATGGCTTCACGTTTCCTAGCGAGAAATTTCTATGTGGACGATGGTATTACAAGTCTACCAAGTTCAGAAGAGGCCATTCACTTGGCAAGAGAAGCCATGGAACTTTGCCAGAGAGGGGGTATACGCCTCCACAAGTTTGTGTCTAACACAAAATCTGTCCTAGAGAGCATCCCAGAGTCAGAGCGCTCTGTTGATGTCACTAGTTTGGACCTCAACTTAGAAGAGTCAATGGAGAGAGCTTTGGGAATCTCGTGGAACCTAGCAGCTGACTATCTTTGTTTCAAGATTGCCCTGAAGGAGCAGCCGTGGTCCAGAAGAGGTATTCTCTCAACTGTGGCCTCATTGTATGACCCGCTGGGTTTTGTGGCCCCCGTGGTGCTACAGGGGAAGAAAATCCTTCAGGAAATGTGTCAAAAGGGACTTGGATGGGATGATCCCGTCCCGGAAGCCTTGCGGCCATCATGGGATCAGTGGCTCAAGGAACTGCCGCAGTTAGAGTCCCTTAGGATTCCTCGATGTCTTCATCCTCCTGGCTTCAGTAATCCAGTTGTGGTGCAACTGCATCACTTCTCAGATGCCAGCACCATGGGATATGGTCAGTGCTCATATGTACGGTTCGTGAACGAGAGGGAGGAAGTTCATTGCTCTCTGATTTTTGCCAAAGCGAGAGTCGCTCCATCCAAGGTAGTAACCATACCACGACTAGAGTTAACAGCTGCGGTGGTCTCAGCAAAGGTCAGCTCTATGTTAAAAAAACGAGCTGGAGCTTCAACTGGTTGAAGAGTTCTTTTGGACTGACTCCAAGGTAGTCATAGGCTACATCAACAATGAGGCCCGAAGGTTTCATACATTTGTGGCAAATAGAGTTCAGCTAATCAGGGATAGAAGTCTCCAAGATCAATGGCACTATGTACCCACCGAAGAAAATCCGGCTGACCATGCATCCAGAGGACTCAGCCCGACAGAGCTACTGAAGACCAAGCAATGGATGAATGGGCCAGACTTCCTTTGGGAACGTAACTTTGAGTTCAGAGATACCTCCGCACAACTGAATGTTGGTGACCCTGAGGTGAAGATAGCTGTCTTCGCAACTAACCTCAATCTTGACAAGCCAGACCTGCTACAACGTCTAGCCAGACTCTCTAGCTGGTCTTTGATGATTAGAGTCTTGTGTCGACTCAGAATGGCCTCAAGGAAAGGTGATGAACGAGCCTCACTTGCTCAAGAGAGAGAGAAGGCTAAGGTATTCATCCTTCAGCTAGTTCAAAGAGAGACTTTTTCTCAAGAGATGAAGTGCTTGACTCAGAAGAAAACTGTGAAGGGCGCAAGCAGCATCCATGATCTGGATCCATACTTAGACGAGGATGGAACCCTACGAGTTGGAGGTAGGCTAAAGGACCTGCCCCATCCTGTCATCCTTCCAAAGAACAGCCAGATCACCAGAGCAATCGTACAGCACTTCCATCAGAAAGTCTGTCATCAAGGTAGAGGCATCACTCAGAACGAGATACGAGCCAATGGATACTGGATCGTGAAGGGATCTAGATTGGTAGCGCAGTTGATTAAGAACTGCGTAACTTGCAGACGCCTACGCAGACCCCAGGAAGAGCAAAAGATGGCCAACCTTCCAGATGATAGGGTAGAGCCCTCTTACCCTTTTACGTTCGTGGGCATGGACTGTTTTGGTCCATTTGTTGTTAAAAGAGGTCGCTCGGATGTGAAGCGATATGGGTTGCTCTTCACTTGTCTGTGTTCTAGAGGCGTTCACATTGAAATGGTTGATGACATGTCTACAGATTCATTCATTAATGCTCTGCGTTGTTTCATTGCAATCAGAGGAGCAGTCCGACGAATCAGGTGCGACCAAGGTAGCAATTTCGTGGGAGCTAGGAATGAATTTCAGGTAGCCATGAAGGAAATGGATGCTGTCAAGGTTAAAGCCTATCTTGCAGACAAGCAGTGTGAATTTGTTTTCAATGCTCCTCATTCAAGTCATGCCGGAGGGGTTTGGGAACGGCAGATCCGTTCTATAAGGAATGTCCTGAGGGCTACTATTGACTTATGCCCTGGAAGACTCACTGATGCGTCTCTGCGTACCTTCTTCTATGAAGCAATGGCTATTGTGAATAGTCGGCCTTTGACGATGACCAATCTGAACGACCCCAGTACTGCTGCACCTTTGACACCGAATCATCTTCTCACTATGAAGAAGTTGGTGCCGTTGCCACCTCCTGGTGAGTTTCCTAAGACAGGTATGTACCTGAGGAAAGCTTGGAGAAGAGTCCAATTCTTGACACAACAGTTCTGGTCCCGATGGCGCAAGGAGTACCTTCTTTCCTTGCAAGGGCGTAATAAGTGGACTAAAACACGAAGGAACTTGAGGATTGGAGATGTTGTCTTGCTGATGGACAACGAAGTGCCACGTGTGAAGTGGCCCCTTGCTGTAGTTACAGCAGTGACTCCCGGCGATGACGGTTTGGTCAGAAAGGTCCAGGTACGAGTAGGAACAAGGAACCTGGAAAAGGGGGCTAAGAGGTCAGAGTTATGGAGACCAGTGCAGAAAGTGGTCCTCCTCGTGGAACATCCTAGAACGTCTGACTCAGATTCCGAATGAATGTTTTAGTCACCCTACTTCAGAGTTGTTGGTGAATTGTGCATTCCCTGTGATCGCTCATCTCGCCTCGCCCTGTGCTTTGATTTTGCTCATGGCTTCAGTCATGGAGGTTTCGGACAGCAGTTGTCTGTCGTTGCCGGATGCATTGCTCTGTCTGCCCCATTCTTGCGCGCCTTATGTGCTTTGCGGTGCATGGCAGTGACTCCTTTGTTCAGTTATGTTGTTCAGTTGTGCAAGTGTATTTAAGTCTAGTATTAATTATACTGTAGTTGTTACTTTGCTACATACAGTTGCAACTTTGTTTTTTTTGTAATACATGTAATTACTAGATTCATGTGTAATGGAGTACCGGTAGTTGAAAATTACCAACACAGGTTGTCATTGTATGGCAGGTTGAATTATTTGTAAGTAATTTGGTGGGAGTGTAACAGTCGGCACTCCATAGTTTGGGGGCGCTAGCACTTCATAAAACCAAAACAAACTGTGCACATAAATGTTCGATGATTCACGAACAATGCTCGACAAGGAAGCCATCAAACCTTGAGCTTTTCATCAGTTTAACGATGTGAGTAGAATTGAGAGTATGAAGAATCTTGAATTAATGGTTTTCTGATCAGACTAAACTCATTGGAGGTTGATATTATAACGTATTTATATGCTAAATGTTGTCTTTAATTGTTGAACTTTGATTGTTGAACTTTGATTGTTAACGAACACGTGTATGTGTGTATGATTGTGTGTGTTCTTATATACGCATAACACATTCAGAGCGCATCGTTGAATGCGATTATAGAGTATTGTACATGCACTTTACGTGCTACTCAAAATCATCCATCTTCTCTGTGATGAGTTATGTAATTTAAGCTGTATAATACTAATGATAAATGTATCTTGCTAGATGTTGAGACATAAACATAGACATGTATAATTCCCTTCAATTTGCAGATGGGAACAGTATAAGGCTGTAACTGTAACAAGATGTGCATCAAGTTGAAAGTAAATCGGTCTGTCTTTGATGTCAGCACTCAGCAGGCACAGTGGTAAGCTTACATATAAGTGCCTCACTGTAATATGTTTATCCCATTATGATGTGTGGTTCATATTTTGAGCTGTGTTAAATTAATCTTATTGTAAACCACAAACTTGCTATTCTTGGTGTAATTGGCATTCTGGTGAAGTCACTTAATAACAGTATTATTTATACAATGTGCATGAAAGTTATTCCAAAGAAACAATACCTCAAGTACAGATACATAAATGGAAGTTTAGACATTGTTCATGTTAAATGTCAATTTATTATACATGTATTTTGTACATCAAGAAGTTATTTTATTATACATGTATTTTGTACATCAAGAAGTTATTTTATTATACTTGTATTTCGTACATCAAGTAGTTAATTGAACGATCACTGAAGTAATCGTTGAACACTGAAGCGTTTTATTGCTAAAAGATTCATATCAAATGTAAATACCGTTATACTTATTATTCGTATGTTTTGACTTTGTCATTTTTTCAGTTCTTACGGCTTTTGACAAGAATAAACGTCTACAAGAAGCATAGACTATACAAGCCAGTACTAGAGAACGTGTGCGTCGTTTTTTGTTCTTCATCTAAGTAAATACATCGGGGCAGGCACAATTGCAGTTTCTTTGTTTTTATTTGTGGGTACTACCCCCTACCCTAGCCCCCGCTGTGTACAGTCATGGTTCAGTGGCAAAGCAATGGCCTCGTAACTGTGAGGCCCCATGATCAAAACCGTGTCGATGTGCCATATTAGTGCCCTTTTGTTGGGCATTAATCTTCATTACTGTCATTTATGACTTAAGGGCGTATCCCCTAGTTGATAAGCAAAGTAGCATACACATGCTTTAGCATTCACGCAAAACCAACACTAGCAAATTATTATTCATTAAATTCTGAGAATGTATTCTATTATCTAGATCTATTAGGAATAAATCTTTGTCAAAATAATTCCATAAATTGGGGTAAAAAAAAAATATTCGAACTATATGAGCGACAGTGTATATTGGTCGACTGTCAATTCTTTTTCTTTCTGACGTCAATAGCTTTTGTTACGTATATTTGTATATCATTGCGTAATATTCTTTTTCTTTGTAATGTCGTGTGATACTATTAACGCCTATAATAATGGAACAGCGAGACCAGACATTGTCATTCTTTCTTTCATTATTTTCTTGGGGGGGGGGGTGGACACAAATTATTATATCTAGGGGTCATCTGACTCACATCTCCAAGCCCACAATATTAAATAAATATTTAATTCTTCCTTCTTTCCTCTCATTTTTCTTAGAATAACACACCTATGATAACTCCATTATCAAAGGCGCGCGTAGAGAGGCACATCGACAGAACCACGCGATGTTACAAAGAAAACACGTTATAAATTCAATGGATGTCAAGAAAACTTTCGGTAAAAGTTTTCCAAGCAATAATGAACAGCATGACGCTGGTCAACCGTTACAGTAGTCGTGAGTCAGAGTTCTTGGAAAACGAACCCTATAAATGCCCACAAATAGTGTAGGAAAGGATGAATGTGGAGAAAAGTAAGCATACACCGGCCAGATACATTTCCAAGAAAAAACACAGTTTTGTTACCTGTTCCTTCCAGCTGGTAGGAAGTGACATTTTCAACCAATCAGGTTCAAGTTGCATCATGAGTGACCAGACACCAGCCAATAGCTTCTGATGGGGTGTAAACTTCAAAACTATTCCTAAGAATTAATACTAATCGCCCCAAATCTTGACCATTAGGTCTGTGGGGGAGGGGGGAATTGTTATTATATTCCCCTAGAATTTCATTTGCAATTCAGAAGCTGTTGCAAACCGAATGAGAAACTACTTGTATTAGTAATACACAAAGTATTACAAGTTGTTCGTCAGAATACTATAATCAGCTCTTTGTGAATACAAACAAGGTGTTGTAGAGGAGAATATGATAGTCCAGGTTTTGTGATTCCACAGTGGAGAAATTGGAATCAGTGTAAATCTATAAACACCAACGACAAGTTATGAGTACTCGTTATATTTAATCTTACTGATGGCTAAAAGTTATGTACAGGTATCATGATTGTGTTATTACATGTTTTATATGTATTTTGATGTGCTATTGTATAACTGTTGTATTGCTTTAACCAAGTGTGTTTGTGGTCACATGTCAAATAGAACATTCCGAATTATTGTACACTCTAAAATCATGACGACGTAAAATAACTGAATTTTTGGAAAAAGATGTTATTAATTATGAATACTAGGTACACAAGATGGTACATAATGTATTGATAATTAATATGTAATTATAGATTGAACAAATTACTAGAAATAGTTTAAATTTATATCAAATTTGGCAGGGTGTTTAGAATTCATGTAGCTGTACTGTAGCTGAAACTGAGGGACAGGACGGAACCATTGGTCCAGGTCTATCCAGCGACAGGGGCTGGCGTCAAGACAGTCAAGTCGTCGTCAGTATACTCCAGAAGCAGGAAATACCCACACTACAGACATAGCTAAGGATCTACATTAATTATTGAATTGTATTAATATTTTGTTTAAGTCTCATATGTTTGTAATTTGTTTGTATATTCTCTTGCGACTATTGTTTTGAATATGTTACATTAATAAAGGTTATTTCAACTGAATTATCTGTGTGAATTAGTTTTCTGTTTGCAAGGTAACCAAATTCCTAGATTTCAGACCTTGTGACAATAATACTGTATACAAATACACGTGCGAAGTAATCAATATTATGATGAATTTGGGAATTCCCATGGAATATATTTTTCTATATCAATCTACTTCTCATTAAACAGTTGGTGATCGTATATTCTGATTTAGTCTTCATAAAGCTCAGCTAGAATTTTTCAGCCTTCAAACGAACTAGACAGAGAAAACAATATTCTGAATGGGAATAGGAGACGTCCTGTTCACTCTCAAAAATAACGGATACAAAGAAAGTTCTTGACCACCCTGTTTTTAATTTTTGCAAGGGCGGAGACATTTTGTTAACCTTTGCACAAAAAAAAATTAAGGGCAGAAATTGAAAAACTCAATATTAAAGCTAGGCACCATAGTATTCTCTCATTTTCATTTCTCACAATTGTGAAGGTTTATTTCCAAGAGAGTCACGAAAATTGTTTGAATTTGTCCAATTTATTTCATGGTATTGTAAATAAGTATTCGGACTTGTGCATGAATTCATGCTCAAATCTAGGATCCAACTGAGGCACGTGGCTTGTCATTTGTTTAAGGTAGGAGTGTCCTTCCAGGGTATATACAGAACCCTGAATTCGAGATAATACAAGGCAAACACACTTAAGTGATTAAAGCAATACCACACTCATATTTAGCACGTCAAAATACATGCTGCATGTATAATAACGCAATCACGATACATAACTTATAGCCATCAGTAAGATTAAACAAAATGAGTATTCATAACTTCTCGTTGGTGTTCACAGATCTACACTGATTCTAATTTCTCCAAGATGGAATCACAAGACCTGGACTACCTTTCTTGTATTCACATAGTGCTGAATATAGTATTATGACGAACGACTTGTAATACCTTGTGTATTGGTCAAACAAGTACTTTCTCATTCGAATTGCAACAGGTTTAGAATTGTAATTTAATTGCTAGCTGAATTTATAACAATTTACCCCATAGACCTAATGGTCAAGATTTTGAGTGTTCTTAGGAAAAGTTTTGAAGTCTACGCCTCATAAAATTAGCTTGTGACTGGTCACTCATTATGCAGCTTGAACCTGATTGGTTGAAACTTTCACTTCCTACCGGCCGGAAGGACCAGGTAACAAAACTGTGTTTCTTCTTGGAAATGTATGACCGATGGATGTTTACTTTTCTCCCCATTCATCCTTTCCTTCATCTTTTCAATTCATTTCAATTAGATTCAATTTGTTTTATTAAACCGTTTTAAACCCAAAACAGTAAACAAATCACGATTGTATGAACATTAGTGATACAGTGTAAATGGTCAGGGTGCCCCTAAAAGCCAAGGCTCGATTAATAGGGCCCCCAATACATAAATAAATAATCATAGAGTAAACATTAGATAATAAACTAACTTAGTTATAAAACAAAACATGAAGCATTAAACATACAAATATTAAAAGGGAACTAGGAAAATGTGAAATAAGAAATCGTAGGAAGGAGAGATGTAACTACATGTTTGTGGGGCGTGTAGGTAGTTATTATTGAACGTTTGAGTTTGGCTTGGCTTCCTTTTCAGGGATAGTCCCAAGAAATCTTACTCAAGACTACTGTAAATTTTGACCAGAATCATACTTTTCATTATTACTTGGAAAACTTGTACCGGAAGTTTCGTTCTTCTTTCCCACGAAATTTATCTTTGCTTTAGGAATTTTCTATCTCAAGACAATCCTACTAACAAAGAACATAATTATGTAAGTGTACGTGACATAATAATAAATCATTATAATCATAAACCTGAATACAAACAAATTACAAAATCTCTATGCGATACGAAATGTGGTTACAAAAATAAAAATGCATTTTGCATAGCATACAATAAATAGTCTTCTATTCAAAGTCATCTCCTGACACCCATTGTGGAATGTAATTGTTTTCCTTGTTATGTCGTGTGGTACTTTTGTTTTCATAGCAAACATGGTGCCTCTGTCGATATGCCTCTCTACGCAAGACTACGATAACGGAGTTATCATATGTGTGTTATTCTTTTTTTAAAGGAGAGGAAAGAAGGAAGAGGAATAATATTTACGGGGGAACTTTAAGATATCCAATGTTATGGGCCTGAAGGTGTGAGTTTGTAGACTCCTAGATATAATACTACAACCCCCCCCCCCCAAAAAAAAAAAGTAAAATAAATAATAATAATAATAATGAAAGAAAGAAATACAGTGTCTGGTCTCGCTGCTCCTTTATCATAGGCGTTATCATAGCATCACACGACATAACACAGAAAATGACTATCAGACGATCATTTGCAAATATACGTAAAAAAGGATATAGACGTCGGGAAACAGACAGGTGATCATTAGCCGTGTTCACACGCTGGCAATTTTTGTTCAGCGTGAAGGTCGTGTTTAGAGCTAATCGGCGTAAGTATGGTAGGGACGGCGTAAAGGTCGGCGTAGTGAACGTCTGAACGATAGTCGTGTTAGCTATGCCGAACTTTACGCCGACTGATTTACACCTGGATTTTTCCTGGAGTAACGCGATAACACGACCAGAGAGTGATGTAAGGTGACCGTGTGGATGCTCTCACTTGGTAGTCGGAGTATCTGTGACCTTTCACAAGAGTTGTATGACCTCACATTTAAAACTTCCGGGGTCACACATACAGTGTTTACCACATGCGAGTGTGCCTGTAGAGTGATTTTCATGGTTTAGGGATAATGTTTGTTTACAATCGAAAATGAAAACGAGATTTTGCGAGGTTTAGATGTGGAAGTTGCAGGGAAAAACTTACGCCGACAATCGGTAATATTTAGCAAAAGACAAGTTTAGGATTGGACTTATATCAGTTACGTATAATAGAATAGATGGCTAAAATGACATCT